TAAATAAAAGTCCAGGGCTTTGATCCCCTGTCCCAGCCAGATGATCTTGAGTCAGTATTTGTGTCTCACTTTCGAAGTAGCTGATCTGAAGCTCCCTGACATGGGCAGCTCTGAACCTCTCCAGGATGAGCAGGCACAAGAAGATGTAGTCATTTCTCCCCAAAGGTGTGTTACCAGTCTCAACAAATCACAGACAGGACGAGTGTTATCCTTGCTGTGAGCTTCCTGTCTGATAAAACTCTTTTCAACTTCTCAAAGGAAAAAAAGCCAAACAAAACAAGCACATAAATGCTTCCCAAGAAATGAACTGAACAAGTTATTTCACATGTGTAGCAGCTGCCTCACAGAACATTTATTAGTAGAATAATAGAATCATTTAGGTTGCACAAGGCCTCTAATCCAAGATCACCGAGTCCAACCACGAACCCAGAACTACTAAATTTCTGGAGAATTTCCCAGACGAAGGATTCACTTTATCACAGTAATGAAACTTGGGTGGGGAGAGTGAAAATGGATGTTCTAAACCCCACCCCCCTGGTCTGCTGAACTACGGCCGAAATTATAATCTCTTTTCAAAGAAGCTGAGGAAATTAACAAAGTAACTATTGCTCAGGGGCAGACTACTCACAATTTGCTATTGAATATGGAACAATGGGTGAATCATTGATCGATCCACCACAGCCTCTTCATTTGCTCTCCTTGCAAGCTGAGCTCTCTTTTCCAATCGAGGCTGTCAGGAGCCTCAATGTCACTGGGGCTCTTTTGTTGCTGCCAGGAGCGCTCTTCTTGATGGACAGTAGAAAATCGTCTGTTTTTTCACTTCAGGCGCTCACTGCACAATTGAGGCACTCACAGCACAATCCAGGCAAGAGCAACTAATAACCTGGGCATTGCTGCTGCATTGATTTTTGGGTGAGGTGTTCTATCATTTTATGGCACTGAATTTAGACACAGTTGCTTTAATTTTCTCCTGAGTAAACATAATGAAATTTCTATGAAAGAAATATGCTTTTCCCTGTAATTGCATCATTCTATGTTTGTTTAGTTTTTTTCTGCTGCAATTTCTCCAAGGACTGACATTTTTATTTGAGACAAGACAACCAAAATTCTCATCTGAGTCTAAGTAATCCCTCAGAACTGAATGTAAAGGACTGCTCGACAGTAGCAATGGCAACAGAAAATTAGGTGGTTTTAAAAATTATGAATGATAATTAACTGAAATTAAGTACATTTTGACTGGGGTATGTCCCCCATCCTTATCAGCATCTTACAGGATATTGTTTTGCTTTAGCATAAGAACTTCATAATGTGTTGTTATAACCGAGGTAAGAAATTCTGTCCAGCATCACAGTGGAAAAAGACTTTGTATTCTCAGGGAAAAAAGAACCTCTTTCCCCTTAGTGAAACCTTGCCTCTTGTTTGAAGAAAACTGCACAGGATCACACTGAGTGGAGAGGATTTAACCTTTTTGAAATAAAAATAAAACATCAAGCTGAGAGTTGAAGGCACGTAGTGAAAGTTAGAAGCATGGAGGTTTATAACACAAGTCAGTTGGAGAGTCACCCACCAGTTTCTTTCAGAGAAAATGTAAAATGTACCATTAAATGGAAAATAAAACCTCACTATTAAAGGTCAGTTCTTCCCTAAAGTTCATCAAAAATCAGTATCTCCAAGGCATTACTGTTTTTTTAGCCTTTTCATTTTGGCACAGAGATTTAGACAACTGAGCAGAGGTGCCCAGCTGATCATTAAAAGTGGTATACCAAGAAGTAGTTCTCTAGGCTCACTGATGTTTTCTGAGCCTGTGAGGAGCTCTCAGACATAGTAATATCTTGAAAGAAATAAGGGTAAACTTTAGTTTTTACCTGCTTCCTTTGAGGAAATACTTATCTTGAACAAGGAGAGGAAATGAAACTAAATTATGATAAACCATTTCCCTAATCACTGACTTCAAAATTAAAGGCAGCTCTCAGATATAACTTTCTAGGTTTTACTGTTCTTCAGTTTTTGAGATTCTAGAGTGTAATTGTGTCATAGTTTCTTACCTGAAACCGGGAGTATTAGAAAAAGGTTTTAAATTAAAATTTACAGAACCACTCTAGTAATGACATGGAGGGTTATGGGTATGAAGAATAGCATGTAACACTGCAAGAGCTCACCCCGTGCTTTGAATCCTCTTATTTGTCTGTAACTTTCTGCTGTAGAAAATACATTCCCTGTTCTCACTCCCAAATTGTCCACATCTGTCACCATTCACGCTATGCCACAGTTTTCAGACTTTCTGCTCCCATTCTCAAATACTTCCTAAACTGACTCAGTCACAAGTAGTTGGCTCAGCTCATGGACTATCAATTTTCTGTTTAGATTTAATACACATCTATTAAGCCCATATGCCTGTCTGTGTGCTGAGCGAGTTAGAGAGCACCCACTTGAGATCCTGTGCTGGCTGCCTGGAACAAGTGGTAGCACTGGAATGGAAAGAAACCAATTTGTTGGTGAGAAGAGCACATCGCAATCAGAGAAGAGGCTTTCCTTAATGGGGCAAACATGCTCTTTTCTTGCTTCTCCTCTCTCAAGCAGTGTACTTTGCTGCATATAGCCAAGGACTGGAAGTAGCATTAGTCAATCCTGCTGGAACATCTTCTGTATCCATCTGTTTGCTCTGTAAATGGGTCCCTAAAGAGGTTTCACATGCTGCTTTTCCAAATGGTGCCTATGAAAGTCTATCAGTTATCATTCTACACCTACTGGTGATCTACAACAGGTTTTTCTTGAGATGCTGTTAACTGTCAGCATAAATTGAACAAATATGCAAATTCAATTTACACATTTAATACCACCATGGAGATGATGATTAAATTACTGTTATCACTTTGAAAACATACTGTCCCATGCAAATAGCTAACAAATTACCCAAGATCTTCGCTCAGACCTTGGCCTAAAGAATGTTATTACTTGGCAGCTGTGGACACACACTTGGTGTCAGACACATTAATAATGCTCTGATCTCAGCCCAAAGAAATTATTTCCCAGATAAACATTTGTTGCACCAGAGGCATAGAAGCCCTGTCAAATACTGTTGGCCAGCTGCAACTTTCAAGTGCTTGAGCACATGTGTTTTTGAATTTCCCTCTGCTCATCCAGGCACATTCTGAGCAGCCAGCACCCCGACATTACGAAGGTCACAGTCTAGCATGGATGCAATGGATGCACTGAAGTGGATGCAATTGGGCAAGAAAGTGCCTGGAAGATCACCTGGAGCTGTTTGCAGCAGTGGGGAGCACTGGGCACTGCATGGCTCTGGCGCCTGTGAGCATTTTTGGGCCATGCTCCCTTGCTCACTCTCATTAATGCTGGTCTGGACAAGCAGGCCAGGGTCTGTGCAAGGGAATTTCAGCCTGGCAGGAGGGATGAGCCTGGACCTCAGTATCCCCCATGTTGAGGATTACATTGAATGCTCGGTGTGCAGCTGCAGGCTGAGGTCTGGGGAGAAGCCTGAGGCAAGAGACTGTGAAACTCCCAAAGGGCACAGGGATGTGTGATTCCAGCCAGGTCTCAGACACTCAGGGACAGGAAGGAGCCAAGGGTTCCAGACACAACTCTGCTTGGACTGTGAGGGTATAACAGCCCCTGAGGTTTCTTCATTTGGGGTCCTTCCTTGAAGGCACCCAGCTCAGATTGTTATTTTGTTGTGGTATTGTGATTTAAACTATTTTAAGGATTGAAATGTCAGAGACTGTTACGGGAAACCTGGGGTCCAGCCGGTAAGGAAACCTTGTCTCACCATGGAGTGTGGAGCTGCCAGAGCAGCTCGGGTGGTACGAGTGTGACTGCTGGAGTGGCTTCTGAGTGGGTGGGCAGGTAAGTTTCCTTAATGCCAATTGCAGGACTCTGTGGTCCTGTTGGTAAAGCAGCACACGGTTCCAATAAGCTGCTGTGCCATGACATGGTATTTGCTGTGGCCTCCACTTGTGAGGCTGGTGAGCTCTGAGCAAGGCATGGGGAACCCACCTGGGTACGTGGGATGGGACAACCCTGGATGTGTAGACAAACTGGGGAATGAGAGGATGGAAAGCAGCACCACAGAAAGGGACCTGGAGGTCCTGGTCTGTGCCAAGTTGGACATGAGCCAGCAGTGCCCTGGCAGCCAGGAGGGCCAGCCCTGTCCTGGGGGCATCAGGCACAGCATGGCCAGCTGGGCAAGGGAGGGGATTGTCCTGCTCTGCTCTGCTCTGCTCTGGGGCAGCCTCACCTCCAGTGCTGGGGGCAGTTCTGGGTGCTACAATATGACAGATACAAAGCTGTTAGAGAGTGCCCAAAGGAGGGCAATGAAGATGGTGAGGGGACTGGAGAAGCCATCTGAGGAATGGCTAAGGTCACTTGGCGTGTTCAGCCTGGAGGAGACTGAGGAGAGACCTCATCGCGGTCTGCAGCTTCCTTGTGAGGGGAAGAGCAGTGGCAGGCACTGATCTGTTCTCTGCGGTGAGCAGTGACGGACCTGAGGGAACTGGCGTGCAGCTCAGTCAGGGTTGGTTTAAGTTGAGGAAAGGTTCTTCACCCAGAGGTGTTTGGGCACTGGAACAGGCTCCCCAGGGAATGGTCACAGCACCAGCCTGGCAGAGTTCAAGAAGTATTTGGACAACGCTCTGAGGAGCATGGTGTGATTCTTGGGGATGGTCTCGTGCAGGAGCTGGACATTGATGATTCCTGTGGGTCCCTTCCAACTCAGGATGTTCTATGATTCCATAACCCTGGCATGAGCCGAGCGCGTCGCGACGGACGCCGGCGAGAACAGAGGGGCACAGGGACCGAGCCGGCACCAGAACCCGGCTCCGGGCAGGTGCCTGCCGTGCCCCCCTGTCTCCCCGTGTCCCACGTCCCCAGCCGTCCCTGCTGTCCCCGCCGTGCCCCGCAGTCCCGCCGGGAGGAGCCGCCACCGCCCCCACGCGCCATTCCCCGGGACGCCGTTCACGACAGTGTCGCGCCGTGGCTGCCGTACGGCCGCCGCGCGGTTTCCAGCGGGCCGTGCGGGTGGCGTCCGGGCCGGAGGGCGAGCGGAGCCGGGAGCAGCGGGAGCGGGAGGCGCCGCTGGCACAGGTGGGGTCACCGGCCAGGCCCGGCCTTGCCCCGGGGCTGCTCAGCACACCCCCGTTCCCCGGGCTTGGGGCTGGGTGCTCTGCGGGGTCGGTGCGCTCCTGAAGCTGCCCGGGCCGCGGCAGGCGGAGGCGGGGACGCCGTGGGGCGAGAGAGCCCCTCCTGTGCCCGGGGGAGCTCCGCTGAGGCACCCACAGTGGCAGGACGCAGTCTGGAATTTCTGCGTGACAGCCACCTAATTTTACTGCTTGTGGTATTGATCCTCTTGGTGTTTCACTTACTATGTATTTCTGTGCTTACACCTTTGGAAAGAGCCGGAGTCTTTACGTTCTCTCTTCAGATTTTTTTATACATTGATAAGATGACCCCACCCTCACTTCTCGGCCTTCTCTAGGCTGAACAGGCCCAGCTCTCAGCCTTTCCTTAAATGAGGCATAAAAGGCGACTCCTTCTCCTTGTCTTGTGGCCTGTCTTTCTTTCAGAGCCTGTATCCCTCCATTGCTGCATTCTGGTCATGGAATGGTAACAACTTGAAGTTGTGTGCCTGTGTTAAGAAGTGGGAGTCTGATTTTGTAGGGTCAATTACTTGCCTGGTGATATGTTGCTGTACTGTAAGACAAGAATTAGGAGGCTCCCACTCAAATGTGCTTTGGAAGAGATGCTGTGACTTGGAGACCTGTGCTAATCCTGATGCATGTGGTTCAAAACCTGCCTGTTTTTGGTATTTGTGGTGATTCTTGTTGTGACTTGTAGGTAGAGTGAATGCTAAAGTCACAAATGGCACATCACTTACGTGACATGGCTTGTTTTGGGGTTTAAGGGGGGATAACTAGAAAAGTGTAAGAGAAAGACAGAGTATGGAAAGAGAATGAGGTTGTGATGATGGGGTTTTGACAAAAGGAAGGCCAGGGTAAGCAGTAGCCAAATCTTCCTGGGCAAAGATAGTGCAAGAAAAAGAGTAGTGGGAAAATGGTCTGGATAGCCTGATGCTTACATAGCAGTGATGTCTTTTCTTTTTCTCAAGGCAAAGCAGAAGGACAGAGGATTTTATGTAATACATCATGTGGGCATCTCCTTTGTACAGTTATGGAACTATTTCTTGGCAATAAAAGTTTTCTTTTGTGATTTCCCCCCTTTTGACAAGCAGTTGAAGAAAAATTCTTTTAACTTAGTAATAGTGAATCACACTACCCTGCAAAAGTTTGTTGATGTTATTAAGATGTCTGTTGCTCTACCTTGAACTGCTGTATATGTTTAAGATTGCTCCTTTGCTCAGCTCAACCTCTTGGATGTCCAGAAAACACTCTTAGCAGCAAGCAAAGCTTTAGTGGGGCACTGTTGTCCTACTTATCTTTCCATCTCAGCTGGTGCCACTTGTACAGCAAGCTGCCTGGGCCAGTGCCTCTGGCTTAGAATCCTAGAGCAGTCCTGGCTGGAAAGACCTTGAAAGATCACTTGGTCCAACCCCTTGTGGGAAAGGGAGCCTGGGTGAGATTATTTAGTCCTCTGTTCCGTCATGTCTTGAAAAACTCCAGTGATGGGGTTGAGGAAACTCTCCTGGCTGACCATTCAGGAAGCACGGTCCCCCACCTGGGATGCACTCCCACCACCCAAGGCTGTCACTGTTGGCACTGCAGCCCTTTGTGGAGGGCAACTCCAGTGTGAGCCAACGTGTGCTCTGCTTGATTCCCTATACACAACACTCACACTCAGTCAGACAAGTTTCCCTTACCAGCTGGACCCCAGGTTTTCCATGAAAGAGGCAGAGACATCTGGATCCTTACAACAGTTAAATCATGGTGCAAAACACAAAGCCAGCTTGAGCTGGGTGCCTGCAGGGAGGGACCCTGAACAACTGAATCCCTGAGCTGTTATACCCTTGCAGTGTAGGTGTGCCATAGTGTGGGCTGCTCCTGCTGACTGCTTGGCTCCTGCAGTGTCTCTGGGTGCCTGCTCTCCTGGCTGGCCCCCCTGTTGTGCCTCTGTTGTGCACAGGGGCAGCACCAGTTCACAGCCTTTTTGCCCAGGGCACAGTTTGTCTTTGGCACAGTTCCTGGAGTTGCTAGAAAGTTTGGTATCTTGAGCAGGAGGGGCTGCACTTCTGACTCCGCTGTCAGGATATGTCTCAAAGAGTTGCTGCACTTCAGCACCCGGGCTGTGCTGTTAGGATGTGTCTCAAAGAGTTATTTGATGATGTTGTAGCTTCATAGGCCCTAACTCTCAGTGTTAGTATATTCCTGTAGGTTTAGATTCTGCTCATCGCTGAAGAATGTTAGAGAAAGTGATTTGGAGTTTTTAGAATGAAACAAAATCTGATATTTTTTCTTATTGCTAAGCTGTAGTGTATTAAAAGGTATGCATGTAGGATCTTTGTTGAATTCTGTAATTTTCTTTGTCTTGAGCAAGAAACAGACCATCATTGTATTGTTCAGCATATTTTTAAAATGCCATGAATACAAATTACTCCTTCATGAACATCTTTAAAATGCATCTGCAATATTTGTGTAAAGAAAACCCAGTGCACAACCCTAATTTTGTGGAGTAAGGCAAACACATTTTCCTTGTACAGCAGTGGTTTCAGAGTTGGCTTTTACCATTCACAATTTAGAATTGGGGAATAAATAGCTGTATAAAGATGCTACGTCTTTGCTTAGACAAAAGCTGATCAAATGTTAGAACCACTGTGAGATGAATAAAGAACAAAGGAAGTGGTTGTACAGACTTGTTACCCATTTCTGTGTAATTAAAAATAGTTTATGCAGCCCTGGTCCCAGCATCTCAAGAAGAACCAAACAGCCTTGGAGAAGGTGGGAGGAAAGGTGCAGAGATGATCATGGTGCGGACTGGCCAAGCACTCTAGAGGTTTTGAGACAAGGAAAGATAGGCTGAAAATAAAGTTAATACAAGAAAGTTCTGTAAAATTGTTAAATGATATGGAGAAGGGAATAGAAAGTGCTATCTGCTGGTTCTTTCAGCTTAAGAACTAGGATGTATTAAGGATTTTGCAGGTAGCCAGCTTAAAGCAGACAAATGAATTGAACTTTCAGATGATGCACAGAGAAATTCTGGAGTCTCTTGTACAGCATGTTGCAAATCCCGGCACTGCACTTCATCCAGACAAGAATAGCCTGAAATGTAAAGTGTATGTTGGAAGCTGTAGATTGAAAAGTTGTTGAGCCTCAAATTGCTGGAGGATGCAGGGATATTTTGGAGATGGCTCACTTTGAACTTAAGCCTGGATACATGTCAGCTTCCCTGGGCATTGCTGGACATTTTTTAGTTGGGATACTAGTTTACATTCTTAGTTCTGAGAGTGTCAGAGCACCGAGAAGTCCAGTACAGGTAAACAGAATGGGGTATAATTTGTGAAATACTAGCCACCATGATTCTTCAAGTCCATTTTTCATGAATGTAGCAATGGATCTGGAGACAGTCATGTTGTTTTCTACAGAAGTTAACCTTGGAGATGCTTGATCCCTATATGGCTGATGAGAAACCTTCCTGATGGGACTTCAGCTTCTTACTGAAAGTCACAGTATAGAGTCTGTGTTATATTTCCACTTTGTTACATTTTCACTTCCAAGCAACCTAAAGCAAAGTCAGATTCTGTGATTTTCAAAGATTCTCTTGGGTGCATTGGGGTAATACTGAAACTTAAATTAATGATCAAATGGGTTTTTTTGCTGTTGCTTGTGGAATTGCTGTGTTCATCATCTTATGAATGTCCTTGAACTATTTATTTTCCTTGCAGTAAGATCAAAAAGTTGAAGTGAGGAGAGGTGATATTGAAGTTTGGGAGTTTCCCCCCACACCTCCTTTTCTATACCAAAGTTTTAGAATGTTTTAGCAGAAGTGTATCATAAGCATTTTATCCTATACAAGCCCATGTGGGCCAAAGGAAGCTATAGAGATTCCTTTATTACTTATTTGGCTGATAGGCAAATTTAGGAATGAAAGTGTTTTTTTTTTTTTTTTACTAATTTCATGTTTCCTCTTCCCATTTATGGACCAAATAACCTAATATAGCTATGTAAAAGGGCAATATTTTTAAGACTTTCCTGTAGATACTCTATTATTTCTGTGAAAAGTCAATTTAGCATTTTATAATGTGAAAGCTTGGGGATGTCATAGTTGCCATGTCAATACTCTGCTATCTGATTTTCAGCAATGGACTTGTTGCTGCCTGTGTGAGAGCAGATTAATGTCCTAAGTGTATTGACTTTCTCTGCTTCACTTTGATTATGGCTGGGCTGCCTGCTGCAGTGGCTGCTCAGGGAGGGGATTGTCCTGCTCTGCTCTGCTCTGCTCTGGGGCAGCCTCACCTCCCGTGCTGGGGGCAGTTCTGGGTGCCACAACATAAAAAAGACATTAAACTACGGGAGAGGGTCCAAAGGAGGGCAGCAAATACAGTGGAGGGCTTGGAGGATGCAGGCGTGTGAGGACTGACTGAGGTCACTTGACTGGTTCAGTGCAGAGGAGACTCAGGGGAGACCTCGTCATGGTCTGCAGCTTCCTTGGGAGGGAAGGAGGAGGGGCAGGCACTGATCCCTGCTCTGTGATGGGGGAATGGCCTGGAGTTTTATCAGGGGAAGTTTAGGTTGGATGTCAGGAAAAGGTTCTTCACCCACAGGGTGTTTGGGCACTGGAACAGGCTCCCCAGGGAAGTGGTCACAGCACCAGCCTGGCAGAGTTCAAGAAGCGTTCAAGAAGCTCTCAAGCTCATGGTGTGATTCTTGGGGTGTCCTTTGCAGGGGCAGGAGTTGGACATTGATGATCTCTGTGGGTCCCTTCCAACTCAGGATATTCCATAATTCTATGAACAGAACTGGGAGAAAACTGTTGCAACACTTTTTCTCAATGTGTTTTGTTTGTCTTGCTTAGAGAAGCAGCAAGAGATTATCAGGAACTTATCACAGCTGGCTATTGCAGTCAAGACAGTTACTTGGTGATTGTAATTCTAGAATCCTTTTGCTTTGGGAAAGATACTTGGAAAGCTGTGTAGT